TAAAATGTAGCGCAACAGACCACTAGGTGATTTTTGGTTGGTTTTGTTTTGTTTTTTAACTTTCTAAAGTCTCTTGTAACGTCCTATTCTTGTTGAGAATGCTGACACTCTCACTTGGAAAAAATATTGCATAGGTACCTATACTGCATGACATTAAACATTTTGACAGGTAGTGACACTCAAAAGCTTTTAAAACTCTGGACACTAAAGACAACACCTTTGATCCACATTTCAGTAATTCTTGGACCACAACATCCTATAGACAAAACCTGCTACATTTTTCTTCCCTTTTGGGCTATCTGAGCATTAATTTATAACTTTTTTGAAAGAACAATGAAGAGAATCCTATTAAAGAACTAACTTTCCTCTGTTAGAACACTATGCCCATGGTAGTCATGACCTAATGAAAAAACACATTGTGCTTCAAACCAAAAACCTATTGGGCATTACTCACATTACATATGGACTTAATTCTGTAAGATACTGAAACAATTATTTAAAGGTTGCACGACTGACCTCACAGCACTTAGAATTTGCAGGGAAGAGACCAGTGCACACTGCAACTATGGCATACTTTCAAAATCTTTTTTAAGGCAATCACATAACACAGCTGTTAAAACCACTCTAAAGCAAACATGCTAATAATTGCATCTCAGTAGTTTCCCTGTGTGCTCATTTCAGATCTTTTTAGTTGCAAACAAGCTCTTAATGCTAGGGGTTTTTTTTATAGAGAAAAGGTAATGAAACAAATTCTGTTTAACAGGGAAAGCTGTTGTCCAGTGACAGTGGACCTTATTTGGAAAGCACTTAACCCACAGATTAAAGAAAGGCACATAGTTCGACTGCAATTATCTCCTCTTTCCTGAAGAGCTAGTTTTAACAAAAACCACAACTTGAAGAAGGCAGCAGTTAAAAGTGCTCAGTAGCTGATAAAACACTGAATCACATAAAAGTAGTTTATGAGGTTTTTCAAAGCTGCAGTGCAACTTTGTTCTCTAAGTTTTCATGTTTTATAGGAAGACAACATGAATCTTGAAAAACAGAATCCTTTCAACAGCCAGGACAAATGACATAACTAAGGGCAAGTTAAAGGTATGAGAGAAATGGGTAATAAACAGATAGTCTGCAGAATGGGAAATGGTGTTGACAGGATTTCTTTAGGTAAAAATGTTTTAAATTGGAATGGCAATTATATTTCTGTTGCGATTGAGTTATGAATGGCTAAAGGAAGGCAGCATTGACTCCATGCTCAGAAGGCATAAAGCGAGCTTTATTAGGAACTACACAGAATTTATAGACAGGATCTTTCACCCAGAATCTGACTGGTTCCTAAACAACACCCCTCACACCATTGGTTAATTCGGAACAACAACTTTTTAAAATATCTTTGCATAAACATCACATACCAACATTCCACATGTTCACAAACAGCAGGTGCAGAGATTAAGATAAGAATTGTTTTAATTCTTTGTCTGAGCATTCTCCCAACTTTCCCCAGGATGATGCAGGGAAAGTTTCTCTCTCTGTCAGCATCCACATACATCAGTCTGCAGAAGACTTCATGCAAACACTGTGACTTACATTTTCCTTCGTGTGTGTCTGACAGCTCATGTGGTACAGTAAAAGTCAATGTTTTAGCTTTTTTTAATCTAATAAATAACCTTGTTATCAGGACACAAATTTCCAAATTCTACTCTATGTAAGTAAAACGTGGTTCAAAAATATGTTTGGAGCAAAGACAATGTGACCTCCTTTAGTTTAAATAACTGACCAGTCTTCCAGATGTCTTGCAGGTGATGAACAATGAGTTTTCAGGAAAAGATATGTAGCCTAAAAAAATATTTTTCTTTTTTTTTCAACAAAATGAAAAGTAACCAAAAATCTTTTTTTGTCTAACACCTAATATATTACTAAATCAAAATTAAAACATTCTATTGTTCTTAGGTTATTCAGTTCTTCCAAACAGACTCCTTTAGGTCACTTTTAAAATAAAAATGTTCTTAAAAATAGAAACAAACTGCTGATGCAGCTACACTTGAGCATCTCTTCAGTAACATCTAACATAACTTTATGTGACATACATTAGCTCTGTGGTGCCTTGTGCACAATTGGAGCTGTTCATAATACGCATTGTGGGAAAGTTGCATTGCCTTTTCAAATTAATCTATGCTGTTCCCACACTGTAGGCACAGCAGACACTCAGAAATCTCAAGTAACTCTTAACGCATGTTCCCTGTTGCTCTGAAAGGAAACAGCCTAAAATCTTAAGCCTCTAAAATTTACCCACAGGTTTCTTTAAAGAAGATAAGGAAATTCTGAGGAACAGACTTACCTCTGTTGATATGATCCACTTCTCAGACACACAAACTCCCCCTCTGTATGACCAAAATTACTGACTGTAGCCAGAGCAGCTCATTGTTGAGCCAAAAATGTCCCTGTTGTTATTTTGGCACTAAAAAAAAACTCAAATCAGCAGATCAGTTCTTTTGGAAGATTTAAGTATCTAGGTATCTAGGGCATAAATGTACTCAGCACTTTTCAGCAGAAATTCTGTTTCTGCTTCTCTGCTGCAACTCAGCATCCAGCGGCAGCAGACTGGAGGGGAAAAGCACACATGCCTGCAGTCTGTCTAGAAACTGCTATGGCTCATGGCATAATACAGACAGCTTGAAGGAAATTCTAGTTTCTAGAGAGAAATTACATCAATTTTTCTGGAATACTCCTGCAAAACAAAGATCTATCAGCCAATATACATAAACTGATTTCTTTTATGGTTCAAAAAACCCATAGAAAGCCTCCAGACTTTGGTAATTTGTATTTAAATTAGTAAAAAAGTACTGCATAAATGATACTAGTGCACTCGTTTCTTGACAAGAAAACGGTTTCAACCAGAGCAAGTTGTATTTTCCTTAGCAATGTAGCAATTCACACCATTATTTATGCTCACAGTCAATCATATTTTCTTCACATTTTATCAGTATCTCAAACTAGAATAGCCTCTCTGAAATGCTAATTGTAACTATTACCCATTCCATGATTATTCTCACACTTTTTTGCCAGGAACTGGTAAAACCGATGTACATGGATGAGAAAATTCCTACCTCTCACTGTAATTGCACAGGGATTTGTTTTCTTTTGAGTCAGTAATGTCTAAATTGGATTAAGATAAATTGCTTGTGAGCCTTTCTCTACAGAAACTGCTTTCATGACTGCTATATTTAATGCCAGTTTACCCTAGAACTTCATTTATTACACCAGTCTCATATGAATGAGTCTCCTTGAAACTCATACTCAATTTCAGATTATTCTTAAGGACTAAAAACCTTTTGAAGACATACTCAAATTTTGCTGACATACTAATGAGTCAGTGTAGTACCTGCCATGCTGGCACTGTTCATTATGATCAGACAAAAATCAAATTATATGATCAGAAGAGTGACCAATCTCAAAATGAGAAGTCTTAGAATCTGTCTATTAATATTTAAACTTGTGTTTAAACTTGTTTACACTCCCCTGCCTGGGCAATTGATGCTCTTAGCAATAATAATCTGAGTGGGTGGCTGAGAGTGGAGTGACTGGGCATCAGATGTAGTAGTGATGCAAATGACTGCTGTTTAGCAGGACACACATTCTTTCATCTAGGGAAATATTTATGATTCCAGAAGTTAGACATAAGTAATTAAAATATTTTACCTGTCAATACTTGGAAATAAAATCAGCAGTGTATTCAACATATATTATCTTATAATCATAACTGAAGTGTCACTAAATGTCGGACTAAAATGTCATAAAGAAAACTCTGAAAAATCAAATATAATCTGTGTGCCTAATTTGTACAGTTTGCAGGTTTATTTTTCTAATATTGCAATTGCAGACCTCATAATGTCTATGTGATTGCTGATACACATTACCAAGACCAAATAATGCCAACCAAAAAATCCCGATTGGTCTTTCCTTTCAGCATATTATTACTTTCATAATTTTAGCTACTGAGATAATGACAGAGGTGACAGAAAGGAAACAAGAATAATGCACAACATTACTAGAGGCTATATACAGTTAAAATATAGTGAAATTAACAGTAAAAATATAGTGACATTAGGAGTCATTATTTCAGTGTTGACCATAACACTGCTATTCCATAGATTCTAAAAGACATCACAATGCAATCAGTACTTGTTCTTTGGGTAAAATATACATGAAAGCTTCCTTAATGTCCTGGTTTTAGCTGGGATAGGATTAGTTTTCTTCCTAATAAATGGCACCCTGTTGTGTTTGGGATTTAGTATGACAATAATATTGATAACACACGAATGTTTGGGTTGTTGTTATGTAGTGCTTACCCCAATCCAAGGACTTGGAAGCAAAGCCAGGACAGTTGACCCAAACTGGCCAAAGGGATATTCCACACCACAGAGCATCATGTTCAGTTTACAAACTGGAGGGGAAACTGAGGAGGAGTAACACTTACCTGTTAGTAATTACTTAGGGGCATTGACCAGGTTGTGATTCCCAACTTTTTTTTTTCTTTATCTATGGTGCATTTTTACACACACTTAAGCAAAATGTCTAATTTGTTATCTTCTCCTAGAACTATGCCCTGAATAAATATTCAACATTAAAAAAAATCTCTAAAGAAACAGAAAACAAAAGAGAAAACTCATTTATGTACACCAATACTAAAGCAGTAATATATACAAGCTGCACTTTCACAGGAGAAAAAGACTTTTCTCAGAACAAATGAACATGATTTCTCTTTTAGGTGAATTACTTAAATGTGATACTATAGCAATTGTGAAGGTCTAAGCAAGGTTGGCATTGCAAGAAAAAGAATATATTTAAGCAAATAATGTAACTAGAAAAAAACAAACTAGCCTTGGAGTCAAGAGTCTATTACAGACCTTTTAATTGAGTCATTAATGAACAGACAGGCAATTTAAGTGTGACACCCAAAACAACATATGTTTCAACTAATTGCAATCAAAATACAGACACAGTACCTTAGCTTTATCCCTCATGGATCCTTTTCCCAGGATAGACATTTTTGCACCTGTTTCTTCTTGTAACCTCTTTAAAGAGTTTCCTCTTGGTCCAAGCAATTTCCCAACGAAATTGAACTAGAATGAAAATAAGAGAACTCTTTTAGACCCACAGATACTTTTCCAAAAACTTAATAAACATGATGACTAAACAAGAAAATTTTACTTTCCCTTAAAAGAAATACTCTGACCTAGCTTTGAGCCTAATTGACAGAGATACAAGACTGGAGAACCAAGATATTTATTCATCTAGTGTGAAAGACAGTAAAAGCATTCATGGTTTATTTGAACCCTGGGTGGCTCCTCTCCAGGACTGACAGGCCAGTGGCTGCTAGGTTTAGTGAATTGCTAAACCAGGTATTTGCTCATGAGATGGTACTGGTGAAACTCAGAGAATGCCTCCGTTCTTTCCCAAGTTAGCCAGCTTCACTTGCAAGTAATATATCTTGCAAATTTAGAGCTTTAGATAGATTTTTAGGATTTGAATGCTTCATACACACATTGACTTGAAAGTAAGTGCTGTTTTGTGTACTGGCTTCAAATACCTGTTTTGCCAGCACCAGAACAAATGACAATCAACAGATTGTGGTATATATTCAAGGGCATTTTCTAAAATGAACACAGCTTTGTCTGCCACACTGCTAATATTCCTAAACACTGCACACTTCACATACAGCAGATTTTTCTGGAGAGATATCTACTGGAAAATCAGGAGACAGAACAATAAATAAATGAGGTGTTAATATCGTGTCCACACAAAGCAGCAAAAAGGGAGGAGTCTATTAAGTAATTTGTTTATTCTGTAATCAATAGTCTCTTCATTTATTGTTTTTTTATTATTTCCAACATCTTTTAAAAATGCTATGATATGTGGTCTTCAGAAGCTGACTAGACATCATCAGCACTTGCCTAAGATGTTCTGGAATTATGTTCAAGTCTGAACAGACAGTATTCTGGTCTGGCTTTCAACAAAGAATAAGCTCCACCAAAGAGGGATGTCACTGTATCAGCACTTCCTTGGTTTTGTTTCAGAGAAAAAGAACATGACGTTAAGAAATATCAATCACGAAAATGTCGCTCTCAAAACTACACACAAAAGTCTATAAAGATGTTATAATATACATTATTTTGCACTACTTTCTGTTTTAAAAATTAAAATATGTGGAAATATTCTTGTTTTCACTTTAACCAACAAGAATGTAACACAAATGCATCAGCCATGTTAGTAACACCCAAACTCTGAATCACACCAGATGCTCCAAATCTCAAGCTCGCTTTCAGTCTGGTGTCTTAATTAAAAATAATTTTTAACTTCCTTCAAATAATGGTTAAGCTATCTAAGAAAACAGTATGTAATCACAGGGAAAATAAATATGTACAGTAAAATCTACTGCCACCTAAACCAAAAGATAATGTACCCATGGGAGAAGTAGTAAGTGGTAAGATTTTAAGGAAAATTCAGCATTATTTGAAGCTCCAAAATCAGTTTTTTCAAGCTGCTGTGTTTTTACTTTTTTCCAACTCTACCTGTTGATTTCATAAAAGGTATCAGCTCTTAAAATAGGGTAGGATTTCAAGTCAATGTCCCAGTCAATGTATCAACAATCCTATGATTTCAAACTGTTGCTCAGCCTCTTCCAGGGAAAACCTAGCCTGGAAGAAGTTGCTGGCTTCCAATTGATTATTCAATTTTGCATGCAAATAAACCAAACAATGAGGAAGAAATGGCAAGAACTGAACTTTAATACTAGATAGTAGACTTAATCTATTGATAGAAATAAGATTTAAAAAATCACCCATCTATATATATGTATGTAAAGTTTATTAGGGATGGCTGAGCAAACAGCAGAGCTTATGTTTCTCTGCAAGGTCCCTCTCACCTGCAGACAGGAAAGTGTCACAAGTTTCACCACCAAATCTTTTGTGACACTTACAGATCATCAATCAGACAAGAACCATGTCCTGCTGCATCCTTTCAGTGTTTCTCAGTATTAAAAAAAGCCGCCCCTTCAAAGGTGAAAGAACTGTAACATTATGTAACTTTGGAGGAAACTATGAGAAGGCCAACCAAAGCTTGACTACATTTGTTCTCTGAATGGAATAAAACTATTAAATTACACTCTGTGAAGATTTATGTTGACCATTTACATTTAAGCACTTCATAAACTGTATAATCATTACCTTGACATATTGCTACAAAGGAGCAGTATGGCGAGCATAGACCATGTTATGTGCTAAGTGGATTTTAATCACTTCACAGGAAATAAGTGGCTGGGGATTTTAATTCTATTGATTATGTAGCAGACAGACACTCACATTTCATCCACTATCTACAAAACATGTATCAGGAAGGAAGCAGTTATTTGCAACTAAAAAACTGATTTGCTTTAAGTTTGGTTTTGTCTAAAATGGCAGAACAGCCACGGCACTATATCTGACATCCTACTGTTACTATAATCCCAAAACTGCCCAAGGTCTGAAAGTACTGGTAGAGCAACTTTGACTCAATAACTTGTGAAAAATTATATACTTTATGTTAACATATAGGTAAAAGAAGCACATAGAAAAGAGAATGTTTCAGTAAACAGCCCAAAATGCAGGGAGTTGGAACATAACTTAATTTCTCTTTTTTTTTTTTTTTTAATGAAGATATGATGGGCAGAACCAATTTTAATACTGGAAATTTTAGGCTCCAGTTACAGCCACACGCACGCACACACAACCTGAGCACAGAGAACAGAGAAGGAAAATGTAGAAACTCAGGCAGCTGGACTGCATAAAATGGTGAGCCTTGCCCAAAAACACACATTCCTGGTACAGCAGCTGTAACTGCAAATCTTATTCTGCAATCTCAGATCCAATCCAATTCTGCCATGTGTACAGATTTTCTACAAATAATATTAGCTCTAAGTCTCTGGGATAATATCTGGTCATATTAGGAGAGGATAGCTAAGAATTGCTGACAGATAGAAGAGAGAGTATTAAAAGAAAGCTTTCACTGCTGGGGAGCAAACAAACTTCCATTTGAAAAATATTGTTGTGTTTCTAGATGTTCCTAGAGGTGGCTTAACTTTTCAATCATGTTTATGAACATGATGAACAAGCTAGGCTTTCTAGCTTGCAGAAACCCTTCCTGGTTTACGGCAGAGATATTTTATATTATCTTCTTAGATTTTTTTATCATTTGTCTGGGGGAGATGATGCATGTCTTTAGGGGAAAATGATCAGGTGAAAGCAGAGGATGCTTTACCTATAATCAAATGCATGATGTTTCATGTATCAACAACTGTGGAATAAACCTTCTCCTCTGCAAAATAAAACCTGACAGAGAATACAGCTCAATAGATCTTTCCTTTATCTACAGCCAGTATCTCCAAAATCCTCCCCAAACCAATATATACACAGAGTTTCAAGAGATTTATCTGCATCTGATTACTTTCACACTTCACACAAGCAATCAGACAGTAAAGTGCTCAAAGCCAAAGTTCTAGCTCTCCAGTTTTCATCAAAACTTTTTGTTCCAACTACCTCAGGACAACATACCACAGGTATAACAAATCTAAGGCATAATTTACAGCATCAGCATTCAAGCCTCAAGCTAAGTACAATGACTGGTAGAAAATGCATGTTTACATTTCGAATAATATTTGTTGCCCTAATTGATGCAGCCTGAATACGTCTCCACTAGAACTATAACACCTCTTACTTTGTAAAATCTAATTTAATAGGGTTTTACAACCAGAATCAAGAAATATGCTTACCATTCAAAAAAAAGTTTGTGTGAGTGACTGTTTCTATTTTATACACAGATCAGTCTTCAGAGCAGTAACAAAAGCTAGATAAATAACAAATGGGTAAGACAAATGTTTCCAGTTGTAAGATAATGCAGAACAAAGCCCCGAACTGAGAGAAGAAATTAATTTCTTCTAGAAGCAGCAAACCAAAAATAGCCCTGGCTTGACAACATGAAACAGGTTTATTATTTCTCAGTGTTTTGTTCACCATTGCTATCAGTTCCTTTGTGGAGAGACAAAGTATATTCCGTTTTCAGAGCTACTTATCCTCATGAAATCCTATCCTTATCCATGAAGAGCAGGATGGGGGTGAGGGTGGGGAAGAATCTTTCTAAATTCCATCCTGTTCTCAGGAAAAGTGGAGAAGACAAAGACAGCCACACCTGAATAAAACCTTACTGTTTGAGACCTGCCTATAATAAAGGTTCTGTTCCAGGACTTCTGACAGCTCATTTAATTTAGAACAGCATTTATGTTAAAAGTATCTCATATTTTGATATACGCAAGGGACTTCATGTTAAGGAGGTATTGGACTACTATGAAGGCAAATTTTATTTTTCTCAACATTTTGTAAGCATTGTATTACAATGCCAGTAATAATGCTTTAACTTTTGGTCAGCCCTGAATTGGTCAGGCATTTGGACTGAGCATTGTAGGTCTTATCCTACCAGAACTATTCTACTGTGGGAAATGGAAAGATAGAAACTTCCACAGACACAGAAGGGTCTGATTTGCAACTTTGGAAGAAGCTTGGGTTAATGCAAAATTAAAATACACAGACATTAGGAAGAAAAATTATAAACTTATATTTCTATAGTTGTAAGTAAGAATATGCCTTAAGTAAGTGAGAAACTGTATTGATAAGATGGTGAAGGGTTTATAATGTAGGGGTGCAATTGTACAGAGTTCAGATGTTCTAATATGTGTGTATGTGTGAGAGTAGCCCAGTGGATAAAAGTATCCACAGTGCAGCAGAAGTAAGTAAAGGTGATAGGTTAGAACAGCAAAATAAACTTTGTGGCAACTGTCCATTGGATTAGAAAGTTATATATTGTCTTGTCATGAAGAACTTGTGACCGTTTTGAGCTATGGCTGACTGCTTGCTCTCTCAAACCTCACAACCTCTGAGACTGAAGTTTATCTGAGGAGCAATAAATCACAGTTTTAGCCCGACTGTGGTCCCATCCCTTCATTAAAAGCGGCGATAATATTATTCTATTCTATTCTATTCTATTCTATTCTATTCTATTCTATTCTATTCTATTCTATTCCTCAGCAGATTCT